GATGTGCAAAGAATAATCATATCACGAGTACTTTATAACTTCTATCAACTTCATACCTGGCCATATAATCCCTTCGTTGCTTATTGGTCTGTAGTATCCGGTTTGCGGACCCTGGGGACAGTATGTTGCTAGCGGCCGCGGTGATGCATAGGGGATTGGCTTGGTTGAAGGGACGCTCCTCCGGCAACACTGGTAGCATGCAGGACTGTTGAGCATACACTAACTCTTTTATCGCTAACATTAAAGTTATCAGTTGTCACAGGTCTGATAACATTAACTCGCAGGTACACTTCGGGAAGGTCTGCTCTTATCGCCATAAACAATTTTGCGCCTTCGTCGTCCGAGATTCGAATGGGCGGTGTCCGCCTCCACTCCGGACCCAGCATCCAGTGGGGCCACTGGTAACTCAACTCTATTTGCTCAAGATGTTGCAGGCGCAATTTCTCACTCACAACCCGCTGCATTCCGAGGAAATCTGCATGCTCGCTGAGTGTGACTGCGTGGTTCAGGGTAGTTCTATCTGGCTGATGGTCCCACCAGCCGTTGTCATGCATGATCCATTCCTCGTAGACCACTGCGTCATCTCCCTAAATTTGGCGCCATCACCAATTCGAGATTATGTTAGCACCGCAACATACATCACGACAACATCATCAGTTCAAGATATCTTCTAAATTTATACGTTTCGTTACCTGCTTGGGCCCGTAGTTATTGCGGATGAACAACGTTGCTTAGCAGTTATTGCGACGAAATCAACTAATGAGTCAACTATCCTTTTTCGGAAGAAGATGAGAAAGTGAAAGGTCCACCAGCTCCTCCCACATTAAATAACCCTTTAAATCCGCAGATATTTCTCCTACCAAGTTTATATTTTTTTAATAATATCTTTACCTTTATCGGGCTTGTTGCCTAAGCAACTTCTTCAACCAGATTTTTCTGTTGGCGGCGGAAGATTCTCTAACGTCACCTCATATTTAATGTTCCCCAATATCCACGAACGATTATAGTTAGTAGGGGTATAATTAGAACGATATACATGTGTATTGTGTTTTCACCCAATTGTCGATTAATTGCTCTGAATATCTCGTTTCCTATTTAATATGGGCGATTTCTTAAATTTACCTTTTTTTATAATAACATGTTTTAAAAAAAAACAAATCAATGCATTTACAATATTTTTTTCTTATGATTATGTTACAGTTTTATACCAATCAAAAATATGATAAAAGATATACAAGAATATAATTTAAACATAAAACATCATTTTGCTATGAATAAGTAAGTTGTTATTTATTTTCTGATTAAAACACATTTTTTTTTAATCTTATCATGGTTTCGTCATAAACAAAATTAAAAATTGATGAATTATTTCAGCAAATAGTGATAAACATGCAATCAGTATAATATGTTATTTTGATATTAGAAGTTTCACATCAATCCTTTACAAATTATTAAAAAACGTCTTCTTTTTAATAAAGTCAGATTTTGACTAGTTGTGGCAGATGCAAAGAAGTTAATTAGTTGAATGTTCATTGATACATACATTCCTACAAAGCAAGTTGAAATAATGGCCTTACAAAATCATCGTCGACCTGCCGACAAACCAATCGTAATCATCTACTACAAACGAGATTAGACAATGATCTTTGTGAATTGATTTTGAAAATTTAACGGTAATTGTATATGTAAAAATCACTTGCTTGATGGATATGACTATGTTTGTTACAGGTTTTTAGCGGCATATTGTTTCATGAAACATGAATATGATATGCCTATATTTAGTGTTAACTTCTTTTCAACCATTTAGATACTTGACATAAATGGCTAATACTATGATTATAGTAGAAGAACTTGAAAAACAAGATGAATATTATGGTATCTATCTTTTTCCTAGATGCATGTAATCTCTTTTCTAGAAGAAATAAATTTATTGTTGGTTTTGGTTAAAAAGATTTGCATCTATGTGCAAGAGGTTTTATTGTCACGTGTTTTTTTTTGGATTTATTTGTGCTTGGATCAGTTGGATATGAAGCCTGCTATTTTGTGAGTTAGAAACCAAACATTTATTTAATTTGCGATCCTTGTTTTCTTGGCTTATTAGCTTATTATTGAATTCTCTTATCTCTCATAACAACTTAGATTCTGAGATGTTTCAAAATCTAGATATCAAATCTTTCTTTTTTGCCTTTTTTTTTTGGGTCAAAGAATGCTTTTAAATTAGAAAGAGTTTAACCTCCACAAAGAAAGGATACATCAAAGCTACCAAGAGCTGAACTTAACAAACCTACAACCAACATACTGGTCAAATTAAAACAACCGGTATACAAACCGGAACATAGATAGATAAGCAGAATCAAAAGCCCGTAATCAACAAAGCCTGAATCAGGATCTTCGACTAGAAGCACTTCAATCGCACCTTTGATAATCCAACCAAATCCATAATGGAGAGCATGAAAAGAGAAATCTGCAGCCCCTTGGAAGACGGTGGTGTATGAGTTGCAAGAGCAACACAAACTTGAGCTGGCGTGAAGGAGAATAACATGTACTCCTACCAAGAATGCTTCGATTGTTGACTTCCAACAAGAGCATCTCAGAAACAGAGTTATGGGGCACTGGTAGCGTGAAGCCCACCAAAGCTTCAGCTCTTTTACCCTTGCAATAAAACCACTCAGCACCAGCAGGTGATTCGGTGGTGATGAACACTCCATAAAGGAGAAATGCGAGCAATATATGCTCACCACAACTGAAATCCCTGCAACAAAAACACTCAAAGCAAAGGATCGTCTTGGAAGAGAAACAGCCTCCATAAAGGAGAAAATAAGGCAATCAATGCCCAAGCAATCCAAATTCATTACAGGATAAAGAAATTTGATTCTAGCCTGCCATAAGTTCAGAGAGAGTAACTTTATAACTAGAACAAAGTCGGATTGGAAACTGCATACTACAGTAAAGGGGCTGCATAAAGCAGTAAGGGGTCGCATCAAGGCGAAAATCAAACCACCAGAAGACACAAGCGTACAATCTAAAGAACCCGGAGACCCCACCAAGGTTGAAAGAGTAGAGCTCAGATCTATAACTTGGGAAAGTGAAAGCGAGAGAGAGATGGATGTGGTGACAGGGAACGAGGCTGAGTCCGGAGGGTCTAGGGGGACCGGAGGGTCCGGAGGTTCGAGAAGAGGAGCCAACTCGAGCAGATCTGGAGGGAAGACAGGCCGTGGTGGCTTTGGAGGAGGGGGCAGGAGCAGCGGCGACTTAACCGAAATTGGAGACATCCTACTTGGCGGTAGATCTGACGCCTCCGACAGACTGAAAGACAGGATTGGAAACTCAGTCCTCAAAAACCCCACAAGACCCATCAATAACTCTGTCAAAGAGAGATCAAGACTCACAAACACCGAAGATAAAACTAAGGGTGGAGAAGTGTCCGGCGGTGGATCTGGATAAAAAAAATTAAAAAAATATTACTGGTTTATTAACTCAGTACAAAAGAATGAAAATAAAAGAACAAATGATTTAGCTATAGATAAATATTTTGTAATTAAGTATGGAATTTGAAATATATTCAACAACAAAAATGTTTATAAAATTTTGTAACAAAATAAAAATAATACTCTACACTTGGCACAAATCAAAAATTTTCATTAAATAAAATTGATTTTTTTTTAAAAAAAGTTGAATGCTTTTTTAAAACAATTTCAATTTGATAATTTTAATATGTTAAATTTTTTATCGAAAAACATAATTTGCTCATGGTGTGGATCCAAAATCTAGAATAGAAATGTTTAATAAAAATGTGATTTCACAATGGCCATAATTTTTTATTGAAAAAGTGTGCGGGTCTGAAATCTTTTTTTTTTGTCTTCCTTTGATTAAGCCCAACGGGCATTGAAACCCATAAAGGGTAGAGCAGATTACAATAACATCTCGTAAATGCCCACAATGTAAAGAAAACCCAAAGAAAACAGACCCGAAATTCCAATGCCACGTGTTTGTACACAAAACCTAAATATCAAGACGCGGACACGTGTTTGGAAAGAGATGAACTCAGCCGCTTCGATTCCTGCACCACCGACAACGACACCGCCGGACACTCAAATTCAACACCGTCGAAACGGCTGGAAACGCTGCTCGATCCTTTTGCTTTTAGTCGCCGGAGAGATTGAGAAGTCATACTTTAGACATCGGAAGATGAACCGCCAGGAATTACCAGTAAAATAGAATCAAAATATATACCGGACCACCACAAAAATGCCAGCTTTTCTTACTCCGATCCAGATCACCGAATAATAGCCTAACACTGGATTCTAACTTAATTGAGAAAAACTTTACAACAAGTGCCGAATCTATCGGATAAGTAAAGAATTACTCCTCCAAAAGAAAGAACTCAGAAATCTGATGAGAAAAAGATTTCCAATCAACAACCGGAAATCATAAACAAAAAAAGCAAAAGGGAAAACAAAACAACATCGTATATCGGAAATTATTTATCCGACAAAGCGGAACTAGATATCTGACTAAGCAGAAAATATAAAACATACTTTAGATCCGAAAAATATATACAGCATAGCACCAATGTCGGATTTACGCAGGTCACCGGCAAAAAAAACTCAGATCTGAGTAGCTTTGTTCTGAGAGTTGAGAGAAATTAAGAGAGAGAAATTAAGAGAGAGGGTAAATTTGCGGGTCTGAAATCTAGTAGTTCATTTGTTGGTGGTAAGAAAGTTATCATCATTGACGACTCAAGCGAAGATGCTCCCTTATTTGAAAAAAAAAATAATTAGTGGTTGGCATTTAGGGATAAAGTAAAAAAAAAAAATGGTTGGAAGAAAATGCTGATTCTAGAGGTTCATCAGAAACCCTTTTAAACACTCCCCTGGTTCGCGCTTCCGCAAAAAAAGAATCAAGGGTTTCGTCTTAAGGAAGGAGGTTGAAGAAGCCCAAGTCTTAGAGCCAGAGAGAGAGAGAGAAAGAGAAAGAGAAAGAGAAAGAGAGAGTTAACTATGAATTTGGATGGGCCTCTTGATTTCGAGAACGAAGATCCTCTTGTTAATCCCCCAACGTCAGTTGAAAAAAGGTCAATCCTTTTTATCTATATGAAATTTCGGGTTCTTCATTACCATTTTCCGGCTTGTCCAGTTCATAATTTTGTTGTCATGGTGAAGAAAATTTCGACACATTGTAGGCTAGGGTTTTCGAATTCGGATGAATTTGGGTCAATTTTTGCTAACTTGGTCTTGCTTAGGGTTAATTTGATTGAAAAATTCTTATGAAAGCTCAAAGCTTTATCTATGTTGACAAACTAAAGCTCTGAACTTTGAAGATTTTTATCACTTTATCTTTCACTTGTGAAAGCTCTGAGCTTTGAGTATAGGCCTAAGATAAATTTTCTTGTGAAAGCTCAAAGCTTTGTCCTTTTTATTCTAATTATATCTCTGAGCTTTGAGGATAGACCTAAGATCAAGTTTCTTGTGAACGCTTTGTTCATTTTATTCTAATTATAGCTCTGAGCTTTGAGGATTTTAACTCTGTATCTTCCACTTGTTGTCTGTCATACCAGGAACAAAGTTATTGGTTTGGATGATCTTCTCTCTGATTTCTACAAGGAGAAGAGCAAGCGTATAGACAAGGAAAACAGGAAACGGAAAGCCTCTAAGCTTTACGATTCAGATGATGAGGAACATGGCAAAGAAGCTTTGCTTTCTATTGTTGATGACTGCCGGAATCAGGCATGCGTCATTCATCCCATTCTTTTAAGTTCTTTTCTTACATTTTTGGCAGTGCTATGAGAACTTTGGAATGTTTGGTGATTATTGGGTTACATGTTTCAGATGAATAAGATAGTTGGAGAAGAAGATATCCAAGAATGGGGATTATGTATGTTTGGAGATCAGGTTAGGATGATTTATTCAAATGTAAGATGTTGTTTCAGGGTAAGTGATAGTTGTGTAAAAAAGTTATCGTCTTTGATGTTTCAATATATACAGAAAACTCCAGAACCTTCACTACTTCCTGATCTTGATAATTGCTACTTGTTGAAAGAGTTTATGAACAGTCAGTTGAATTCGGTGGTGGGTCTTCGTCCGGATAATGGTTGGTTTTTCTATAACCTCATCGTCTTTTGTGATTTTCCTTTTACTTGAGAATCTCCGGCTTAAAAGTAATTGGCTTTTCACTGTACATTCCAGCAACAGTTTTGCTTGAAGGATTGCTGACTAACGGCTGGCTCACAAAACTGGTCTTGACATGTGCGACTGTGGAAACAATCATATGCAAATGGACGCTTGATCTGTGTATGTCTCGTGCCTAGCTCAAGTTTCTGTTGTCTATGGACTTTTGGCTTACCCTGTGAATTTTGGCTTACCTTATGATCAGTGTTGTATTCATCAAAAGAGGATCTAAGATCGTCTGCTTGTGACTTTTGGTGTTCCATACTGTTATCACAAAACGAGGTTCCTCTATGTACCTTCTGTTCTTTACTTGAGCTTCCGTGGTTTATTGAATTATGTTTTGACAGAAACTGATCTCCTTCGTTTTAATCGATGTGGTTTGATCAGGTTGAGGGAGCTCCTGTTGAAATTGGCTGGCTTCCTAACTATCAGGCACTTAAAGAAGCTCTTGAGTCATATGGTTTCAGAATTAATACATCACAAGATGTTGAACTAGCTGAAGCTGGTAAGTTTCCTGTTGCTCTCAGCTCTTTATCGTCTGTTATTCTTTCCTTAGGGTTTTATAACAGACTATTTACTACTGAAATCTACAAACTTTTGGCTTGAAGATTCCGAGTCTCAAGGTCCTCCTCAGAACATTAGTGCTTGGCTCAAGTTTGTTGCAGCTTGTTGTCAGATTAGGTACCCTCTTTTACAGATAGCAAAGACATTGTCATTCCTCTGCAGTACTAAATTCAGAGTTTATTGGACTCTGTTTCATACATTTTGATTACTCCTGCCTTTCTCTGTTGCTTCATTGATTCAGGTGTAAAAATCCTCTTTTTACGGCATCACAAGTTGAACAGATAGCTGAAATCCTTGTATGGCTGCTCTTAGATCGCGGTCTTCAAGGTCTCTCACTTCTATCACAAGAGTGCTTAGTATCTGTTATTGGATCTTTCAAAGAGAAAGAATGGGTTTCAAGCTGCAAGAAAATAGCAAACTCTCTTGCTTCCAGGTTTTGACCTCCTTTTTACTTGTAGCATATTTGGCCTGTTTTGTCTTATATATATTTAGTTAAGTGACAGAGTTGCTTCTCTCTGGTTTTAATCCTCATGTAGAGTACCTCAAGACATGAACTGTTTGAGGATAGTGGAATCCGTATCAGGTGTTGATACTAGAAGCAAGCATCTGAGAAGTTCCATCTCAAATCAAATGCTTGTTGTTTTACTTGATCATAAGGTAAAACCTAATTTACTCAAATAATACAAGTTAAAGACTGAAGCAAATACATTTGTTTATACATGTTATTCTCTGTTAACAGGACAGCGATGAAAAGCTGATGAGCTCGCTGATGTCTATCAACCTGAAGGAGAAGAGTTGTAACCTTTTCAGAACGTACATTTTCTTGGTTTTGGCTGAGAACTGGCTCTTCTCAAGTAAGTTGGTAGAGGAAAAGCCGGTTCTGATGGAAATGTGGGTTGTGTTTCTCAGAAACTGTTCTCGTCAAATCAGTAGCACCGATCTTCGGCCTTATGCATCAAAAGTGAGTAGGAATCGAATCAAATTACATCTTGTCAAATCAGTAGCACTGATCTTCGGCCTTATGCATCTTCTTTTGGTTTTTGTGGTTGTTAACAGGTTCGTACCAAAGCTGCCTATCTTCTTCAAGGATGGAGGATGGAGAAACAATTGAAGTTCTGAAATCTGAAACTTTAGCAGTAAGTTTCGTTAGGTTTTGGTTTAGTTTAGTCTTTACCACTAAAAATCTGAAATATAGACAAATCTTGGTGTAAAAGAAAGTTCATCTTTTGTTTCAGTGCTACTAATCTTAATTAATCTTCGAGTCCTTTTTAAGGTAATGTTAACCACTGTTTCTCGAGAGCCTAATAGAACTTCGAACCTTCTAGGCAAGCCAGAGTCTTTCTCTGTTTCCCATTTTGGTCTAAACCTCTCTTTCCATCTTTAATGGATCCCTTACTCTACAATTTTACTATATTACTCAAGACCAAACGTTGCCTGATTCCACAACCAAAATCAATTTCACGTCTGTTAATCGAGTAAATTCTTTGGAAACAAAAGATATTTTGTTTTCTAACACAAATCCTCGAGCTTTGATGTCCATCGATTTATTCCAAAATCTTTATAATCTCACTGCTTTAGAAAATCACTGATTAAATTTGTCTTAAAAAGAAAATGCAATGTATGTAAGTAGTCTCTTGTCCGTTCTTGCTTAAAGAGATTTGAGATTTTGTAGTAGTTAACAAGAGAACATTCATCAAAGATCGAGAGAAAGAAAATCTATCAAATCTAATACACATGGACATTACCCGTCATTACTTATTTCTCGTTAATGAAGAGAAAGACAGAGAGAGAGTGTGACACGCGTTTTTTTTTACCGTTAGGGTCAAGAAAATAAAAGAAAAAAATCTATAAATATATCCAATGCACACACAGATTCTCTCAGTTTCATTATTTTTTCAACCATGTTCGCCTTCTTGCTTTCGTCTTCTTCGTGCGAGAACAAGAGCAGTGTTTTTTTCGGAAATCAACAAGAAAATTCACCATGCGATCATCTCCTTCTTCCGCTTGTACCCATTCGTCTTCTTCGTCTTCGTCTAATTCACTCGCTGCAACAAGTTTGACCAACAGAGTCAAGACCATCTTCAAGAAAGGTTACGAGCTTACAACTCTCTGCGCTCTCGAGGCCTGCGTCATCCATTACGGACCAGACGGAGAAATAAAGACATGGCCTGAATATGAAGAGAAAGTGAGAGACTTGGCTCTGAGGTATTCTCAATTAGACGAAGCCAAGAGACTCAAGAAAAATGTCAATCTTTATGGGTTCCTCAAGAAGAAGAAGAACAAGACAAAGACGACGAATTTGAAGAAGAAGGTGAAGACGAATGATTTAAAGTATCCACTCTCTGATCATTACTCTCCCGACCAAATCTCCCAACTAATTCAGTCCTTGCAACGAAACTCCTCTAAGGCGTCGTTTTCTTGAGGCACAGAACCAGAAAAAGACGAACGTGGAGGCTCTGAAACATCAACAACTTAAGACCCAATATTTGAACCCTAACCAGTTCTCGCTTTTTATGTATAACCATGAAGATGCTACTCTCTCTCAAATCCCTCTCTCTGTGTTGAAGAATCAAGAGCTTCATGGTCATGATCAGAGCATGTGTATGAGTGGCGTTACCAACAGCAACAACAACTTTCACCATCCTTGCGCCACAAACACACATGACTACGCAGCGTTACCATCAGGGTTGAATCACTTGATGCAGGAAGAGCTTCATTGTTGTGATCAGAGCATGTCTACGAGTGATGTTACCAGCAGCAGCAACTTTCAAACACACAAGGTTACTCAGTGTTACCATCAGCGTTACAAGAATGTGTGAATAGCTACGGGTTGAATCACTTGATGCAGGAAGAGCTTCATGGTCATGATCAGAGCATGTGTACGAGTGATGTTACCAACAGCAGCGTTCTAAGTCCCTGTCTCTCAAACACGGCTTCAGATGAGCTCTGTTCTGATTTTCAGGACCCTTATGGTAATATGTTACGGAATTTGCCTTCGAAGAGTAGTTGATCTTCGATTGTATTCTTGTTTAGATGATCGATTTGGTGAGTTAAGTAAAAGAATTAATGAGACACAATAGTTTGTTTACCTAGTTCCCGTTAGGTACGTCTGGGGAGAGATTGGAACTCTTAAGCTTGCACTATCACAAAGACTACACAGTTTGTGTTTTGTTTTGTTTACAGGTTGCTAGCTTGCTCTCTTAAACCTTTTAGCGGAGCTTGCAAAGCTATATATATATAGCTATAAACCCTAAGAAGCAGATAAGAAGTAACCAGATGATAACACCAAGGAAGATTCAGGTGAATCTCTTCTCCTTATCTCCTCTGTTTCTGTCTCTATCTTGGAACAGCAACAGACTTCTTCATGCTCTTCTTCTGTTCAGCGAATGGGCTTTGACTTGGCGGCCCACACACCTCTCGTCTCTTTTGTTGTAACGACAAGAGCCCAATAGGAGCTGGCCCAGGACCAAATAACTCACAATCTCCACCTTTGTCGATGGGTCACTCCCACACTTCCGACAAAACATGCAAAGCTTGTTCGATCTTCTCAGTCCGATGAATCTTCGACTTCCCGCCGAACACCACCGCAGCCAGCTTTACTGATGGCCGCTTTAAAAAAACTGCAGAGAAAAGGTAACCTGATTCTTCTTGAATCCTGATTTCTCTGTCTTTACAAAACCTTCAGCTTTACCGAAGCTAAACCTCTTCATCACCTTTCAGTTTAATCGAGGAAATCCGGGAGAAATTGGACCTAGATCTTTTAAGGTAACCAATTAACACCCACGCTTCTGCTTCAGATTTCAATTTCTCATTTTTCCTTACTTGACCGGATACATGAAGAATGACCTTTCTCGATTTCACCTCCCAAAGAATTAACACCGCTCTTCTTTTATGTCTCTGGTGCGAGATAATCAATCGACGGGAGTATCTCGACCTTCTTCGACCCTGAATCAGTGGATGATCCTGAGTGTGGCGAGGCACTGCTCAAAGCATTTTTCAGGTACGCTCTTCGTTAGAAAGTCAGCTGGATTTAGGCTAGTGTGAATCTTCTGAAGGTTGGTAGATCCATCATTTACTAGATCTCTGATAAAATGATACTTAGTATCGATGTGTTTAGTCCTGTCATGATGAACTGCATTCTTTGCTAGGCATATCGCGCTTTGTGAATCGCAATGTAGAATAAAACACTTAGACATAAATCCCAATTCTTCACAAATTCCTGTAAGCCAAATCCCTTCATTTGCTGCTTCTGTGAGAGCTATGTACACAGCCTCCGTGGTTGATAGAGCCACCACTGGCTGTAACTGTGCTCTCCAGCTTACAATATTCCCCCCAACTTGAAACACATAAGCTAAAACTGATCTGTGCCTGTCTAGATCAGTGGCATAGTCTGAGTCGCTAAACCCAACTATTTTAAACTTCTCTTGTTTCGTGAAGGTCAAGCAGATGTCCAAAGCTCCTGTGATATATTTCAACACCCATCTGACGGCTGTCCAATGAACTCTTCCTGGCTGAGCCATAAACCTGCTAATTAGGCATATAGCAAAACCCAAATTTGGTCGAGAACAGATCATGGCATACATCAGACTGCCTACTATGCTTGCGTATGGCACCTTATCCATATATTCAGCTTCTGATAGCACCTCTTCTTCAGAAAGCCTCCTTAGCTTTAACTGAGAACTCGTTGGTGTTATTACTGCTTTAGCCCCTTCCATGTTGAACGTTTTCAGAACCTGTCTCAAATACTTTTTCTGAGATAGCTTGATAACTCCTTTCTTTCTGTCTCTAATGATATCCATTCCTAGGATTCTAACCGCAGGATCTAGATCTTTCATCTCAAATTCTCTCATCAAATTTTTCTTTAAATTCTGAATTTTTTTAGGATCCTTCACTGCTACCAACATATCATCTACATAAAGCAAAAGATATATCATATCCTCAATAGTAGTTCCGATATAGTACACACATGTATCATGCTTGCTCTGTGTGAAACCTTGAGCTTTCATGAATTCATCAAACCAATGATTCCACTGCCTAGGCGACCGCTTCAATCTGTACATCGACTTCTTCAGCAAACATACCTCTAATTCTTTTCCTTTCTCTATGAACCCTTCTGGTTGATTCATAAAAATTTCTTCATCTAATGTTCCATGTAGAAACTCTATTTTAACTTCAAGTTGTTCCAATTCCAAATCAAAGTTAACCACGATGGATAACAGTATTCTGATCGAAACATGCTTAACCACAGGAGAAAAGAGTTCATTGTAGTTTATCCCTTCAATTTGCGTGAATCCCTTTGCTACCAGTCGAGCTTTGAATCTTGGTAGTTCGACTCTAGGGATCCCTTCTTTGTATTTGAAAATCTATTTGCAGCCTACGATTTTCTTTCTGTTTGGCTTAGAGACAACTTCCCAAGTACCATTCTTATACAAAGAATCCATTTCTTCTTTCATAGCCAGTTTCCACTCCTTCCAGTATCTGCTTCTTATAGCCTCAGCGACTGTCCTTGGTTCGTCAATTTCGATGTCTTAAGCACATATGAGTGCATAAGTCACGTAATCTCCACAGGTGTATATCAGTGATTTTTTCTTAAGTCGAGATTCTTTAACCTTCATCAGAATATACTCATCAAGAGACTCTGGTTCGACATTCTTCTGACTTGATTCCTGATCATGTTGCACACTTGAATCATGTTCCACCTCCTGTTCTGACTCTTGTTCAGACTCCAAATTTTTTTCTTCTTCAGATAAAGCTCCACCTGACCCTGATGAGGATTCCTCTGACCCAGACGTTGCTCCACCTGACCTGAAATTACTCTTTTTCTGACCGTGTTCGAATGATTATCTTCCCCTTCCTGTGCTTTTCTGCATTTTTTGAAGTCTTGTCTTTGAACACAAGTTCTTCGTGGAACCCCAAATTTCTGTTTGTAATGCATTTTCCTTATTCTGGAATCCAAATCCTATAGCCTTTAACTCCTTGAGGGTACCCCATGAAGTATCCTTTTACAGCTCTAGGACTTACTTTGTCTTGTGTAACGTGAACATAAGCTACACTGCCAAACCTTCTTAGGTGATCGTAACTGATCTTACAACCAGACCACAGTTCCTCTGGAATTTTAAACTCTAATGCTAACGTAGGAGATTTGTTAATCAAGTATACAACAGGAGAGGCAGCTTCAGCCCAAAACTGCTTACCAAATCCTGTCTCTGCCAACATGCATCTGACTTTGTTTATGATGGTGCGATTCATCCTCTCAGAGACCCCGTTCTGTTGTGGGGTGTAGGAACAAGTCTTGTGTCTTGTGATTCCTGAAGTCATGCACAGATGGTCAAACTGGTTGTTGGAAAATTCAAGCCCATTGTCTGTTCTAAGACACTTCACCTTCTTCTCTTTCTGAGTTTCCACTAATTGCTTCCATTCTTTGAAGTTTTGAAATGCTTCATCTTTAGTTCTCAGAAATCTGATCCACACTTTCCTTGAGTAATCATTGGTTAAAGTGATGAAGTACTTGCAATTTGAAAGACTTTCTTCCATTCCTGGTGAACCCCAAAGGTCTGAGTGAATATAATACCTCCTTAGATGTGTGTTTACCTTTTGAAAAACTTTGTCTTTGAGACTTTCCCAAAACACATTCTTCGCAAAACTCAAATGTTTGAACTTCCTTGTTATTCAGATATCCTCCTTTAACTAGGACATTCATACATTTCAGACTCATGTGACCTAGCCTTGAATGCCATCTTTTTGTTGTGTCAACGTTTGGTTTTGCTACAGCTGCTACTCCTGTTTGTACGGATTCCACCAAATAGTACAGTCCGTCTTTGTACTCTCCAGAGATGACTCCTTTCCCGTCCTTGTAGAATTTTACCACGAAGTCTTCTCCCTGATATTTGCAGCCGTTTTTCTATAGTTGGCCGTATGATGTCAGGTTTCTGCTCATGGTTGGCATATACCTGACATCGGTCAAAACCACAGCCGATCCATCTGGATTCAGAATCTTCAGTTTACCGATGCCTTTTCACTGAACGTGTTATTTCCCATCAACACTTTGCCTCCTTCGACTTCTTGAAAGTCAAACATCACTTCCTTATTCGGTGTGATATGAAACGTACATCCTGAATCTATAACCCACTCATCTTTTGGATCTTGCACAATCGCAGTTAAGACCATAGGCTCATTTTTCTTAGCGATATTAGCTGCATTTGTCTTTCTGTCTGGACAGTCTCGTTTGAAGTGTCCTTCTTTTCCACAAATCCAACATTCACTGGGTTATCCTTGATCTTTTTGTTTGGACTTTGTTTTATCCTTACTCTTCCCCTTCCCTTTGGAGTAAGATTCATATTTTTTTTCGGGTTTTCCTTTCCCTGCATACATGCCTTCTCCTTCACTTCTGGATTTTCCTAAGAGTCCTGATTCACGCAGTTCAATCTCCTTGGCTGTTGCAGCGGTGACAACTTCTTTTAGTGACAACGGTTCATCACGTTTCCTGTACTTCAAGGTGTGTACCAACATAGCGTATACCTTCGGTAATCCTGATAAAACTTGTACAGCCTGATCTTCATCTGTTACCATGATTTCAAGGCTTTCTAAGTCATATATTAGCTGCAGAAACCCGTCCATATTTTCGTCTATACTCTTGTGTTTTTCCATCTTGAAGCTAGCAAACCGTTGCTTTAGGTAGACCCTATTTGGTAGAATCTTTGTTTGGTAATCTCTTTTGAGAGCTTTCCATACATCTGCAGTAGTGGGCTCTTTCATGACCTTTCTAAGAACCATATTCGTGAGACTAGAACATATCATGTTCTTTGCTCTCACATCTCTTTCCTTCTTGGCCTCCTCTAAAAGAACAACGGCAGGTTTTGTCTCAGGAAGTACAATCCCGATTCCTTTAACCTTTTGAAGGAGTAGCTCCGATGACTTTTTGAATGATGCTTCTGAGGCCTTGCAATTCTAGTTGCATCAGCATCTTGAACTTCCACTTCCCAAAATCACCTTTCCCATCAAACTTCTCCA